CCTTATGTGTGCAGAGTTTGCATGTTCTCCCAGGTGCTTTGGGGGTTTCCTCGGGGTACTCTGGTTTCCTCCTCCAGTCAAAAGACATTGGCATTTCCAAAATTGTCTGTAGTGTATGAATGTGTGTGTGATTGTGCACTGCGACGAGTTGGCACCCCATCCAGGGTGTTCCCTGCCTTGTGCCCCTAGTTCCCCCATGACCCTCTGTAGGAACAGCAATATGGAAAATGAATGCCTAGATGGATGGTTTGACCTGCTGAAATATTTAGCTTGTTCTGCTAGGCGATGATACATGGTCTAGCATATATCAGTGGCCAAGATTAACAACGTTTTCCCTAGATTTGTGTCATGCAACAGTAACAAAACAGTGAGGCAAAGGTTCAGTGTGAATGCTACTTGGTATTAAAGTTTAGCATTTTTGTTTGTTTGTTTGAACAAAATGGGTGCAATTTTTTGCGATTGCTATTCGGAGTAAACATGACATGAAGTCAGTAGAGTATTATGGACATTATCGACATTTAAAAAAACAAACAGAACTCAGTGCTAGTGGCATCATCATCATTCAAACATTCGACCAATTGTTCTTGAGATATCCTGCTAACTATAATTGTGGAAAGAAAGGAAGGATGGATGGACGGACGAACCCTAGTGATGGAGGTAAACTGACCAGCCGTCACTGTTCAGAATATCAATTATCAACAAGTCTTGTTGTGTGTTTTAGCATGTTCTTAAAATGGCTGACGTTCTAGTAAATACACCAACTAGACATGACCCCATAGGGTCTTTGATAGAGCCTGAATTTCATGGTTTCTTTCAAGGCCATTTTGTCAGAGTTAATGAAAACAGGGAGAGAGAGAGAAAAGCCTCAAAGCGGAAGAGAGAAGCAATATGGGCTGAAAGTATTTTAGAGTCTGTCATTATAGTTCAACCAAGAGGAACTGCAGTTTTTAGTGGGAGATCGAGCGAGTAAGGAAAGAAGGAGGAAGAGATGCGAGAAAGAGGAGGGTGAGCTGTCACTCTGTCTATAAAGAAGCAGAGAAGCTCGTCTGATTATTTGCCTGAGACATTGCCCCTTTTTTTCTCCATTCAAAGAGATTCTTTCCTGAAGAATGCCATGCATTATTTCCCCTCTCTCTCAAGGTTTGACCTTTGGCCTTTCCGGTTGTAAACTAGCATTCAGGGTTTCTCATGCACAAATTCAACATCCGCATAAAATCAGGTGGATCTGTTGATTTGTTCTGTTTATTTTAAGTGAACTTCCAAAAAGAGGAATTTGAACAGGTTCTGGAAAGTGTAAAGATGTACAATCATGGACAATTTCCAATAATACAGTCAATTCCCACTGCCACTGAGCCATATTCAGGAGTTACACACATAGTGGGTTTGAATGTTCAGACTTCAGACCTACTGTAACTACAGACTTAAGCGCATTTTCTACTTGGGCTTAAATTATTAACAAATTCAAAAAGACTGGAAGTGTTGCTGACCGACCGAGAAATGGACGTCCACCTACATCTACTGATGAAGGACAACATTGTAAGTGCTGACTTACATAGTCCTCTATGTATGGAGAATTTTGGGACACCCTGTAAATCTGGTTTTCTGTAAAGCTGCTTGTAATAATGTCTATTAAAAGCACCATACAAATGAAGTTGAATTGAATTGGGAATCCAAGAAATCCACTTAACCAGCTGCTTAACCTGATTCTGAATACCTATAACTTTATTGACATAACTGTTGGATTTTTCCCCAAGTCTGAACACAGCCCACTACTTTATGTTGTCAGAATAAAGGACATGACATAGCTATATGCTAGCTAGATCATAAGATCATAAAGGTCAGCACAGAACAGTATGCATGTGATATGTGATATGAAGTTCCATTTAAATGCACCATTATATTTATTTTCTCATGTGACTAAACAAAGAGAAGAATGAAGGCTTTTTATATTTCCATATTTTTCCTGCAAATATTAATCTATTAAGCTCAGCTATGTTGAGTGGTTGCGTTTCTATCTGTTGAATATTCTAAAAAAGGAACCACGAGATAGACCACAAAGTTGTGCAGCGACAGCAACACACACTTGCTATGTCATCATTATCATGCATCTTCTCTTAATCTGGATGCAAACATGTTCTCCAGATTGAGATTTTGAACAGCTTCAGAGATACTGCAATGACCAAAAACAAACAAACAAGCACCCCCCAAAAAAAAAACCAAAAAACAAAAAAAGTGCTATTTTTTTGCATGTGCAAATTTGACATGCAGATGTTCTCCTGTTGGTCTATAGCAGGAGCCTCCAACCTTTTTTTCATTTGAGAGCTATTAAAACATTTTTTTAAGTGGCTGAGAGTCATATAATACTTACAATCTTTCACATAATGTATCATAACTCTCAAATTAACAAACTGATATACACCTTAAAGAGTCAGAGAAGAAAACAGAATCAGAGAATACAGTTCTTTATGGAAAACAGCACACTTTGTTAGAATTGTCTACACTTAACTATATGGTTGTTTACATATATACATTAATGAATGTCCAAGCTAAATTAAACTGGAATATAAACAGCAGTAGCATTTCAAATGTTGGCCTGCATTCTGAGCTAAAATGTATACCACATGAATGAGAGTGCATGGTAAATTAGAAAAGTGCATGATGGGCCACAAGTATGACATGAAGTGCATTCATATTTATTTACAGGTAATGAGCTGACTGACACTGCATTGATTCCACAATGGAGGTATATGCTGGTGTATATGCACTTATGTTTACTCTTATGCAATCATTTAAATGTTCATCTGTCACTCTTGTCCAAATAAAGCAGATGACTTGAGGGCAGCTTGGTGAATGTTCTTGCAGTTTTCTGGGTCTACCAGACTCCAGAAATGTTGTGAATGTTGCTGAGATTTCAGCTGGATATAATTTTGGAGATTAATAACCTCCATCTCTACAGTATTGACACTGAACAGTTCAGCCATCTGCTTGGAAATGTGATCAATGTCTATCTCCATGAATGAATGCCACTCATGGCTCAAGATTTTCTAAATCACTGAACCTTTTCTCAGATTCGTCCCCAGGCCTAGACAGGAGTTCATAATACTTGAGCACATCCAAAACTTTGGTTGCATTTGCGTGGCTTTCTAACATCTTTAAGACTGAGGGGAAGTGTTGCTATCTTTTGTTTTTCAATTGATAAAGGTAAAATGTTTTGTTTTAAATGCCTTCACAGCACAGATCATATCACATATGGTTTTGTCTTTACCTTGTAACTGAAGATTGGTCTGAATCAGTTTCTCTGTCACATCAGCCAATAATGCAAGATCAAGCAGCCATCCGGCATCACACAACAGGTTAGTGTCTTCCCCCTTGGTTCCATAAAAGCCTTAATTTCATACAGTAAGGAAATAAACCAGTGAAGTACCTTACTCCTACTCAACCATCTGACTTCTGTGTGAAGGAGGAGATCGCCATGTTCTGCAGAAATTTAACCAAGAAACAGTTTGAAACATCTGTGTTGTTTGGACTTTGCTCAAATTGACTTGATAATCAAAACAACTGTTTTCATGACATGATCAAAACCCATAACCTTAGTGCAGATCACCTGCTGATGAATGATGCAGTGACAATTTAGAAATTAAGGAGAGTCTGGGTCGGCCCTGCAATGTGCAATAACTCCATAGTGGCGCCCTATCATGGCTGGAGCTCCGTCTGTTGTCATAGACACCAGCTTTTCAAGGGGCACACATTTTTCCATGCAGTAGTTCTTCAAAACGTTGTAGATGTCGACTCCTATGTTCGTGGTTTTCAGAGGAAGCACTGTAAAAAAAAAAATCCTCTTTGGTGGAAAAATCATCAAAAACCTTCCAAACAAAAACAGCCGACACAGCTGTATCACTCAAGTCACATTCATCACATTGAAATGAAAACCATTTACACCTTTACATGTCTTTTTCTAACTGTCCCATCGTATCTGAAGAAAGCAAGGAAACTCTCCTTGCCACTGTGTTCGCACTGAGCTGTACATCAGTGATAGCTGACATAAGTTCTGTCTTGCTTTTGTGGTCCCTGAACAAAGTTTCGGCCACCGCAGTCATCACTTCCTTCACCATGGTGCCATTGGTGAAGGGCTTCTTGTGTTTTATCAAGATGCGCATAACTTTAAATGATGACTCTGTTACAGCATTTCCTCTCTTGGTGTATAAAGATAGTTGTTTTTGTAACGTTGCTTTCAGCTGATTCACTTTTTCAGTTTGTAGCCCGCTACCCACTGGAAAGTCCCGTGTAAAGTTACTATGAACTTGAGTGAAATGGCACTCAATATTGTATCTTTTACCAACAACAACCCTAACGCCACAAATTAGGCTCTCACATCTTTCACTTCCCATTCCTCATGGAAATAGTATGTTTTCTTCCTTTTGTTTGGTGGAACACCATCTTTACTCATCCTGAAGCAAACAAAAATATCTAGCTAATACTATAATATAATATGAGCATGATGATGTGCTTGATTGAAACTTTGGCGTGACGATCGATGTGGCAAATAATACTACACTTTCAGTGGAGGGGGTGGGATAGGAAGTGGTATAGCCCACTCTGATTAGATGAAATAGGAAAGGGTTGCCAAAATGTTTTCGCGAGCTACCTACAATCAGGCCACAAGCTACTGGTAGTTTGCAAGCGACGTGTCGGTCTACGTCAAAATGTGACATAGTCACTGCAACATGAGCTTGAGGTGACTTTTGCATAAAATGTACAATAAAATTTTACAAAATATAATGTGTAATAATACAATCAGACCTAGATTTAGACCTGATAATGATGTTGCTCTTTCCAATGCCATAAAAGACTTTTATAAGTGTGTCAGGCAGCAGAGATGGTTGCAGGTGAATGTATGCTTTATTGCAACAAATGAACACATCCAAAATGACAGTAAAGTCCAAAAAAACGACTTGGGTCAGTAGATCAAAATACTTACAAACGTTCATCCAGAATTAAAA